AGGGGGAAGCGCTAAACCCGTAGGATTATACAGCCCACATGTATGCAGAGCATTATGGGCAGGCTTAAAATTAACTTAAGATTAACTAAGCAATGATATATTCAGTGGTAAAAATTACAGTAATCAAAATATAACATGAAGTACAAATGAGTATTTTAAACAATGAAATTTGAACATTTCAGTTAAGAGGCATTATAGTTGCACAAATTTGTAGCATAACAATGTATAATATAACAAAATGATCAATACACTATATCAATATATCATTTGTAGAGCAAAAACAGGTCGCAAATGTTTGGCCTGGCTCGGATGATAGCACACTCAGGTTACATACTGAGCTGGTTTAGAAAGACACGTAAGCAAACACTATAACATATTTATTAGAAAACGTTTCGGTCCTGGGACCTTGATCACTTCTAACATACAGAGGTAGAAAGGCATTTTATATATATAGGCGGAGAGTGAGGTGTGACGCACGTGACCTGAGGAATGTCATAAGAACATAAGAATGGAGGAACACTGTAGAAGGCCTACTGGCCCATGCGAGGCAGGTCCTTATCAAAACAACCTCTACCTATGATGAAGACGGGTAGACGATGAAATCATGTGACTCCTGTGTTGTTGGGTTGGTGCTGCTTAAGTATCATGTATGCCAATGTTTTTGAAATTTTGTAGTTTCCAGTGTTGCGTTCTATAGTGTCGGTGACGGCGATTAATGAGGCTTCTAGGCACCGTCGGCGTCTGAGGTCTGGTTCGGTGAGAACGAGTTGTGCCTCATTCCAGTTCATCAAATGTCCCGTGGAGTCTCTGTGGAGGACACAGGCGTACCTTACATCGTCTCTGTTAGAGGCATTTCGATGCTCATTCAAGCGGACTGCAAGATCTCTGCCTGTCTCGCCTACATATTTCTTGGGACAGAACCCACAGGGGATAGTGTAGACGCCTGCTGTAGAAGTTAGAGGTGTGGAGCTGCGTTTCGTAGTGAGGCCTTTGATAGATGATGTGTTTATGGTGGAAACGTTGATGTTACTCATAGCAAGTGCCCGGCGAGTATTCGTGGCAACATCACCACATGGGAGTACTATGAACTGCTTAGGGGGCTGTTCCATGGGCGGTTTGTTGAGAATAGCTTGTGCCTTGAGTCTGCAATCTCGGATTAAGAAAGATGGGAACTGAAGACGTGTAAAGGCTTGTGTTATGTAAGTGCATTCTTCTTCTAGAAAGGAAGGGCTGGAGATGCGAAGAGCTCTCAAGAAGCCAATGAGGACTCCTCTCTTAGTGCGGGTGTCTTGGTGTGAATAAAAGTGTATAAGATCGTCCTTGTTGGGAGATCTGCACAGTAGAACGTCGAGGAAAGGAAGTTTGCCATCATTTTCGAGTTCAAGTGTAAACTTTATTGATGGTTCAACTGCATTGATCTTGTTGAGAAGGGCCTGGATATTAAGACGTCTCGGATAGAAAACCAGTACATCATCAACGTATCTTAGCAAGGTAACGGTGTTGGGAATGAGGGTGCTGAATTTTTCTGTCTCCAGGTTTTCCATGAAGAGGTTGGCAAGCACAGCACTGAGCGGGCTGCCCATTGCCATCCCAAAGCACTGTTTGTAACAGTTGTCCTGATACTTGAAGAAGTTGAAATTAACACAAAGTTCCACTAGATTGATGAAGTCTAGAAGAGGTAAAGGGCACCATCAGTAAAGGGTACCATCAGTCAAGCCCACCTCAAGCACTCAGGTGACCTCTCCCGAATTTCCAACCTGAATGTCAAAAACAAAAGCATGGCTTCCTTCGATGTCACAGCCCTCTTTACCAACGTTCCTACTGACGCTGCAATCAACTTATCTAACTAAACACATACTGAGTGTTCGTAGTTCAGTCCCCGGCACGGGTGGAAACATTGGGCTTCTTTCCTTACACCTGTCCCTGTTCACCTAGCAGTAAGTAGGTCGCTTATTGTGGGTTGCATCCTGGGGGACAAGATTAAAGGACATCAATGGAAATAACGCAGCCCAGGATGGCACACTTTACAGGATTGTCCTGGGTGGCTAACTCTCCGGGTTAAAAACCGAACAGAACCTTTGCTGTCTGGAGGAGCCTCTTAAGGAGAGTTCCTTGAATCTAGTGAAATGATCTTGATCCCAGGAATTGGATCTAATTTCCCTCTTCACGGATCGTATCTGACTGCCTCCCATAATCCCAGGCTCTATATGACTCTACTGGTTATAATCTGTCGTCTACAGGCCTTAGTGTTGTTACAACCTACATGGCATTTCCTTGGGGATGTCTACCCAGAATGCCCTTCATAACTAGTAGCCTCTTGTAAAGTATGTCATTTTTAACTTTTTTATACCAACTGTATAGAAACTGGGGCAATGAAGACATGTGAGAAAGATAAACAGTCCCATAGTGCTTGTTGATTTCTGTTAAAAATAAAAAATAAAGTTTACCTGGAGTTTACCGGAACTCTCTCCATGTAAACTCCAGGTAAACATTAGTTTTTATTTTTAACAGAAATCAACAAGCATTGTGGGACTGTATACCTTTCTCACATGTCTTCATTGCCACCGTTTGTCGATGAAATCCGTGCTCGTCATTCTCACCATAATGGTTGTCAGGCAAAGTGTGAAGCGTGAGCTTCTGCCACCAGGTCGTGGGACACTTCTAAGGCAACCACTGGGTTGTAAAATGTCACTCACACTCCATTTTCCCAACTTACATTTGTCTAAAATTTTCCCAACTTGCATTTGTCTAAAATGTAAGTTGGGAAAATGGAGTGTGAGTGACATTTTGCAACCCAGTGGTTGCCTTAGAAGTGTCCCACGACCTGGTGGCAGAAGCTCTCGCTTCACACTGTGAGGGTCCGGTTGTATGTTTACCCATCAGTAAAATGGGTACCTGGGAGTTAGTTGACTGGTGTGGGTCGCATCCTGGGACAAAACTGACCTAATTTGCCCTAAATGTTCTGCATAACAAGCGGCTTTCTATATAGTATGTCAGTGATGTCAGCTAGGACTGTATATCTTGTACATGTACATGTAGTAAATAAAGATATTATCATTATTATTATTATTATTATTATTATTATTATTATTATTATTATATCTGCGTCTGCCACGAAAACCATCGCTGACGTTCTTGAGTCAATGTTAATCTAACTCCACGTCATTTATTCCCAACTGAAAATCATTGTCATTCTGAGCTGGCGCATTTGTTGACTTACAAATACACCTTCCTTAGTCTGGGCTTCGGTTTAGAGAAGCTTTCCTAACAGATGTACCAATGCTGGATAATCCTTGTCTATTGCCATGACCAGTTCATTGATGAGACCAAACTTAATGTGAAGTGGTGGTAACAATTTTTTGTCGTGTAATAATAATAATAATAATAATAATAATAATAATAATAATAATAATAATCTTTATTTCTACAAGTACATGACACAACTTATACAGACTTTATAACCAATGACACATTGTTTGTGCGTACTATGGAATTCCAAATTATTGTGTCATTTATATATGAGGAAATGAAATAAATTACCATTGAGTGTATCTGGATGCGAGGGAAAAGAGTAAGTTTTGACTTCCCAGTGTCAAGACCGTTAAATGTAAGATGCCGTCGTGATTTCAAATGGTGGAAGCAAAACATAAATGTTTCCCAGTCGATAATATGCATTCAGCAACAGTGTACATTCTGGGTTTAGTACAATATATTTACTTTCAAACTCACCCCCCACACCCCCAAAAAAATGATATTTGTTTCTTATATACACGGAGGACCTTTAAAGGTAAGGGTTAGTCAGTTATCAGTCGACGCCCAGGC